GTAAAACTCGAACACGATTACCTTCGCAAAGATATAGGGCCCACAGCTTGTTTGCTTGTTTTACGCTAGCTATGATGGAGTGATATTACACTTACTGGGCTGCTCGACTATGAAGCAACAACCCAGTAATGCCCACAGAGTAAAACTCAACCACACCATTTAACCACGAGTGAAGCCATATGTCTAACTCTACCTGAACATTCATGAGCAAAACCCCAAAACACCACAAGTGAAAAACTGCCTCCCCTACAGTACGTAGCATTCACCGTTGGTACGATCAACGGTATACAACGTTGTATGCCTTCGTGTTTCGAGTTAACGATAGGATGTACTTATCGTAGCAAGCAATAAGTCCCACCCACTTACTTAGGGACGTTTTAGGTCAATAGTACCAAATTCCCTGAGTGAGTGGGTTTTGACCAATTGAGTGGGTGTGTCACCCACTCACTCGGGGAATTGGTCTAGTTGCATGTGGGTGTTCACTACGTGGACATCAACATCCTCGACGTAATTGCAGGTACCTTATACAGGACAGTGGTACTGTAGTAAAAATGATGTCAGGAAATTACAGTATTATTGTTATTATTAACTGTAAAACAAATGTCATGATACAAATATCAAATACGTTCATCTCAGAAAAAAGAGTATTCATTGAAGGGATTGAACCCGGACCTCGATCAAAGTCTGATCCCACTACGACTACACTAAGCGATCCGATTTGAAATGACTTGTCATTTACGTTATTAGTAAAGCACTTGTGCATGTGAACTGGACGAACGATAAACTTCCATCTAGGAAGACGCTAGGTCACTGAGTTGGAGAGGAGTATGGAGCTTTGCTTTCGAGGGACACGAAGTGGTATGCAGATCCTGCGCGTATCAGGCGGTGAACTGTAAGTCCGCCGCCTGGTCGCCATCTCGAAAATGGTCAGCCCATCGATGATGGAAACGTGAGATCAAAGTTCGCATCGTGCAGTATTCCTGTCGTCCTAGTTTTTACCCCATCTTGAGTTCACTGAGCAGTATATTTATCGAAAGCCGGTGTGACTTATGTGATTGAGGCCTTGCAATAGGCGCACGACGACCTGAATCTCCCCGTAGACGACGAGGTTGTCATGCTAATGCTGTCACGAGATGTAGAGCACGAGCATCGTATTCAGCCAGTTTGCTCGAGATGGTACCTAAGGGTAACTGGAAATTGTACTACCCGGTATCCGAGTAGAGGGGTCATGTGGGGCATAGAAACCGCCTGCAAACACATAGAACATTCGACCATAGGAGCTATCGCTCTCTTTAAGAACAACCGGAGATATTGGCAGGGTATACACGAATGAAGTTGCTGGTCTGCATTGTGCGACTAAGCCCGTGTAGGGGTTTGTGTAGTCCAAGTGCCTGCTGGGTTTTCTTGATATAACAAACTCAATTCAATTGTCTGGTTGATTAAGTAATGTTTTGGTGGAAGGGAATGGAACTCGATAGGGAACACGAGCTTTGCGACTTGACGTTTTGGCAGAGCCCCAACGTCTTGTTGAGACGCAAGAGCGGAGGACGCATTCTGTTGGTCGATGAAGGAATGTTTGGCGTACTGTAAGATAATGGAACCGAATGCGACATACGGCCGAGTCGAATTTGCACCGCCCGGGGAAATACAAGACTGAGGGCAAGCATATTGAAGAATTGAACGTAGCCATCCGGAAAGACCTCGCTGTTCAACTTACAGCCCATATATGTCCAAGCTGCACAGGTCGAACAGACCTCGCTGGGCAACTCACAAGTCTACCTGTTAAGCATGTGAGCACTATTCCCATCAGTCTCAAATGACCGACGGCGAGGCCAGAGGTGGCATGCATGGAAATAGACCAAGGACCCGATCATAATCCTTGACAACATGGTTACTGTAAGTTATACCGAATTAAACAGTTGTTGTCATTGGAGACGTGGATGACTCGGCGGTACTAGTATTAGTTTGATTGGTTCGTACAGTTTAATAATATACTCTAATAGTCTAAACTTGCAATTGTAGCCTAATGCTGTATATACCTAATAGCTCCGACGGTTAGTGTACTTGAATTATAGCTGCGTAGTCCAAGGTTCAAACCCTGGAGCAACAAGTACTTTTTCTTTCAAGGCGGTTTCGCTTTTGTTGACAAACGTTGGTTCAGTCGAACATTATATCCGTTGGGATGTACTCGATCGGACCCGCCGTGTACAGTACCTCCGGTGACTGCCCCCTTCTCCGCGCGAGGGTGATAACCTTGCAAAAGGTGTTATCATAGACCTAGGAGGTGAAAACGGGCTTCTAATCCAGCTGCTTGAAGTGTACATGGTTGGCGCAAGAGTCAATTTCACCAGCGACATCAAGGACCGACTCTTGCCTGCAATGTCCGCGAGCGAATTTTTTTGTGCCAAGCAAGTCGACGAAAAGTTGTTTAGTATTGGTACGAATAACGTCACGTTTATCATTGCATGTTTGCATCATTGTCAATGTACATGCCGAGGTAGACGACTGTGGCAAAACAATACCATGGCGACTAGACTGCCTTGTTTTAGCAGACTGGTCGTCCATTCATCTTGGAACCGAAGTATCGCTTCGAAAACTTGACGAACGTGGCCCAGGGAAAACAAGCCTTGCGCGTGCAGTTATGGTTGCTCGTACGTAAATTACATATTTTATATGTGATATTTCAAATATTTCTAAACATTGTAGTACTCACTGTAGCGTTCGATGCTGACGAAAACAGCGAGCTATTACATGTCAAAGTAACGTCGATCAAGCAAGACTACGTCGTCCCAGTGAACGAGTTTCAATTGCGAGGCTCAACATTCCACTCGTTGTTTTCCCATTACAACAATGAGGCTAACACACGTCGTTTGGGTACGTTGTACTCAATCTACTGCTTTAAAACCTGTAATAGAAGTGGGGAATGTCTACTTGTGGCTGAGGAGCCCGACTGCAAGTTCCATCGGAAAAAGTTATACCTAATGCAACCAGCTTCGCAGGCAAAACTAGTATGTATCGTGTTATAGGAGTTGTGCTAGGTCAGTACTAATGCATGTGAAGGAGTCACTCGAGATGTGATCAAATTCGCGTCGTCGAAGAAGATATTGACGAAAGTGCCATCTTCGTATTCCTTGGTATGATGCAGGAAACGTGTTTTTCCTACTAACAAGTGGTAGATGTTCACTCGATTCGATTCACCCGGATTGATGGCGTCATACAGTGGCCCATTCATTGGCCCTAGAACATGCAGCCTCATTAAAAGCGTCGTGGGCATTCTGGATGGCAATATTGTAGGCGAAGTATGCCCAAGCACTGAGGCTTTGCGCGCAATGCCTCTTGAAGAGCTCAAATGGATGACACGATTGAATACCGGTAGTGCCGGGCGAACGAAGGCTGACTGTATCGAGCTTCTGAAAGTGAAAGGAGTCGCTTTTGATGTCAACGAATCTTCAGTTGTATTCCAGTTGTAGTAATTGGAGTAAGAAAAGTCCGTATTCAACATCGATATTCGACCGAGATAACACTACACACAATGAGTATATTATTTTATACTTCGCGATTGCAAAATGCACACGTGCATCGCCTGGTGCTACTGCGTCCAAAGACTACGGAATTAATCTTTGCAATTGCTTGGGCCACTTCACGAAACTCTTCCAATGCCGACGTGGAGGCCCTTGAAATGAAATTGGTTATTTTTCGTCGATTCATGTTGGCCATGACAAACCGAACGAAAAGCGCGTAATGACCAATCGTCATGAATGTTGATTGCTTCTTCACGCCATCGAGCAATGCGTTGCCTTGTTCGGCAACTTGAGAGTTAACGGCCTTGGCCCACCAAAATTCATCCAAGTTGTGGCCGATCGTGCATCCAACGTGGCCTTTCGCGTGTATGCGGTCCTGCTTTGTAACTTGATTCGCAAAAAATTGTGGTTCACGATTCATGCAGTACTCATGGTAGTTGCATGCGTTGTCGTAGATGACCACACGGTCTGCATCGGGAAACCGGGAGTAGAAGATTGAAAACAAGGTTTCAGGTGACTCAGGCTGTGTCATTAGGTGGACCCTAAAACCGTATTAGTCCATTTCGGAAAATTATATATTTACCAAGAATAATTCCGTGAACACAAGTTAGAGTAAAAGTTCCAGGCAGTAGGTCCTTGTGCTTGCCGCCGCCACCTTTCCGGCATCCATTCCAACTGCGTGTCTTTTGGGCGTAATCATGGAAATTACGCTCCATGTTTAATCCCGGAAGGTAGATTCCACGCTTCAAGTCAATCTCAACGTCAATCTCCCTTGCAGCTATCGACGGGGGGGCACGTTCATCGTCCTGGACTTTAAGGTCGCATTTGGAAGCCAAACGCTGAAGTACGGGTTGAAGGTACGGTGGGCAGAAATCGTCTCGTTCGTGTGCAATCACCAAATTGAGCGTTGGGAAATAGTCCCGAAAGACCTTCCGAGCGCGTTGGGATAGGCACTTGGATTCAATCCACATGTTAAGTTCGGCAGCCACGATCGCCGGGTTCATGATGAGTCCGTTGTACACACTTGTTGATTTGGACAGGTCATGGAAAAAGCGGTACCAAGGTTTCTCTGGTATGTTGAAAAAGATACTTCCGTCTTGTTCGGTCATTGTCAATTGCAGCAGTTGTGCAAGGTAGGGAGGGGGCTTTCACCGAAAACGAATGTAATTCCTACATCACGCTTTAATTATCTATACGAAATTCTGTTAGACGTACTGTACAGTGAGAGTTGATGGGTGGGTGGACGTTGTCATGGACAAGTGCTTTAATTGGTTTTGAAGGCTTTCTGAGGGTAGAAACGCACGGTTAGACGACTTAGTTCCATGCCACAGGCCTCCCCCGACTAATACTGGATGATCCCGTAGAGTGTCCAACTCGACCGTATTGCGCATGGGGGCAAGCGCAGTCCCATCCACCACGATCCATTGGCACGTCGTTAAGTCGCCGCAGTGCGGGCACGAAAAGTCCTCGTGGAATGGCATGTCGATGGCTGCGATAAAAGCCCAAGACATATCAATGAAGGTTTGACGACTGACAAACTCCCCACTGAACATCGTATATCGGCTAGAAGTACTGGCGAAAAGTGCACTGAAGGGTACCTATGCATTATTCGTAACTACTGAATAATGCACGCAAGACTTTCTACGTACCGTCCCATGCTCAATTCGTACACAACAGCCGTTGATTTGCTGAAACGAAAAATCGCCTCGTTCTCGCCCGTCCAGAACTTCCACCGCCCGCATTGCTTGCACTTGACTTTCATGACAAGTACGTCGCAAGGCGTGTTCATTTGCAACAGGGTGCACTTAGCGTCGTTGGCTGCACCATCCAAATCTCACTCACATGCACCACCACAAGCGACGCCACAGCTGCATGCACCGAAACACCCGCACTTCGTGGCTGAGGCGTGAGGGAAAAAGATGGCTCCAGCTTGGTCTGCAGGACGTGCTTTAATGGTTGCCATCAGAGCGTCTGTTTTGTAAGGGATTTTCCCCGTTCCGTATGCTCGCTTTGTATTTTCACTGTTCGTTGTCTACATAAATCATTGAGATGCTAGAATTAACCATGACATTATTCATTTCAATGCTAGAATAAACCATGCCATTATTCATTTGAATGTACCTAGCGGCTAATTCCAGGGCCACGAGACACTTCGGTGGGTTCCGTGTCGTTCACGGCCACTAAATGTTCGCACTTGTCTTGACTACACTTGCTACATTCGACGCTTCCGGTGTTTGTTCTGTACACCACTGCTCGCTCACGTCGTTCGCCTAATACGCTCCAAAATTGTTCCAACGTATTGGGAATCAAACGTGGTCTTTCAAGGTGCACGACGCTTTGTGCCTGGTCAAAGCGTGTGGAAATCACGCTCCATGTTGCCGCGACGTCGAGGGAGAAAATTATCTGGGCAACTCTAGATTATTTTTCGGTTAAATTTGATTCGATTCGAGTTTATTCGTATGTTAAAAATTGTTTCGCGCGTTTCCATACCTTGCATGAAGGCAATATGCAAAGCCCTCAGCTATGCATTCCTTGGACACCCTGACAACATGCTCCGCTCGTCCAAAATCGCCCGCAAATTCATTAGCCAGGCAGCGCCCCAAACCACTTGAGTCGCAGTCGCAAACCCACGCGATTTCTGTCGATGCGCTGTAACACGCTGCGATATGGGCAAATTGCACTGAGCCCTTGGACACCTTCAGCTTCGTATAATTGTGCGACGGAAATGTGTACCATTTCCGTCGCACAATTATACGAAGCTGATACATAAAACCTAAAGTTTTTGATATATATATATATATATATATTGATATTGTAGGAATAAGATGTATTTAAAACCTCTGGTGATCTTGTACAACGCATTGCATTTGGTCAATGTTGCCACGTAACGACGCAAGTGATCGTCTTCTGGGACTGTGGATCGTAATCTTGATCGAAGGAAAACGCAGATTCACTATGGGCATCCAACGCTCGCGAGTGATCGTCCACTACCGTGTGGCCATCGTTTACTGATTTCACCAGCAAATGACGTCCACAACCACACAAGCGACAGAAACTGAGGAGGATAACGGTTGATGTTGTCAAGCAACGCATCTACTCAATGGAACCGATTAAATTAGTATCAGCATAAGTTTTCACTATCCAAATTACCGATTTGCAGAATCTTTTTACGCATCCTGGGACTGGGGACACCACTAATCCCTTTATAATTGCACAACCGGGACAAATGTACGGACCCGTGGTAGCCGTACGAATAGCGCACTTGTTTCTGTTGTCCACAAAGTATTGCAACTTGGCCCTCGATGTGGCGATAAGCCCTTGAAAGACTTCGCGATTGTTTTCTTGGGCTGCGTTGTACATCAGCAGGATTGTCCACAATTGTGTCGCCTCGGTCTTGTCGTACAGCAACGTTTCGACTTTGCTGTGGACGTTGTATTCCACGTCGAGTGTTTGCATCGTCGCCGCCCCCAGGAATTGTATATTTCTTCTAGCGGTTACTTACATACCGACGAAACTTGAATGTTCGAGGTGTGATTTCACGCGAACCAACACGAAGTTCATGAATCTGATTGCATATTCGTTGAAAACTTGATGAGAGGTCTATGGACAATAAATTGGAAGGATTTGGACAAAGTTACTGTTAGGTAAGGGTTTTTTAGGTCAAAGTATTGTACGGTAGGTCAAAGTATTGAAAGTGTACAAAATGTAAACTGGGCTGTTTACCTTATGAAATCATTACTTCGAGTACTCACAGTAGTACGTGAATCTGGAGTACTGTGAAACACGATACTCCTGAGTATTGTTTTATAGTGTGAGGGTACTGTACATTTCAGGAAAAAGAATCGTTGTTCGGGGAATCGAACCCCGACCTCTGTGACATTAGTGTGATCCCTAGACATGTACGCTACAGCGAACCGGGGAGAAACTGGACCCCCCCAAGAAATTCGACCACCTCTAAATTGTCATGTATTTCTATTTAAAATTACACTGATCGTTAAACTGAATAAATACACACGTCAGCCAATCAGATTTCTTTGACTAAGGTGGCCGTGATTGGACAGTTCAAAATCAACCACGCACACCATTTCAAAAACATCACTTTCAACCTTCCTTC